AATGATTCATTGGAAAAACCATAGGAGTTGCCTGTTTTTGCTCCCCCCACCCCACTCCTCTAGGATCCTGGGAAGCCCTGCAGTGGAGGAGTGTGAAGCCCAGCCCCGAATCCCAGGAAGCCGTCGGAGCCCCATGCCCTCCCGACAGGCAGGAGAATGCTGTTTCTGCTCCCAGGAAGAGCGGGGTGCTGCCCTGGCTTCTCGCAGCCTGGTGCAGGGAGGGAAGTAGCCTGGCGATGTTCACTTTCCCAGATAGGACACGAAGTCCAATAGACTTTTGCTTTTGCTTTTTGACTTTTTGTTTACTTTTGCTTTGGATTAAAAGTCAGTAGACTTTAATAAATGACCCCTCTCATCACTTTTACTTTGGACATAGTTTAGCAAAAACCACATTCAATGTGTGGCATGGGTTGTAACTGTGGAGGCTTTTAATCTGCATTCCTTTGGGTTACAAGGTGAATATTGTCTCATCACACAATAAGAAATCTGTATCTGACGTCCACTATGGATAACCAGTTCAGCAGCTTAAAATAAGTCAGTTGTCGGCACCGTAATTATTCTTCTTCTTCTTCTTCTCTTCTTCTTCTTCTTCTTCTTATTATTATTTTGGAATACTTCCTAAGTCAATGTAGGATAAGTATATTATTGAACATTACAAAATATTCAGGGCATAGATACACTATGTAGTCTGGTTTACCAGAGTCTCTAAGCAATCTCGAGGTAACAAAATCCAAACATAAATGACCTAGCTTCAGAAATAGAACTCTGTGATTATTGACTTGATCTTAACATATGGGATGTGTTGTTTTCCCTTCGAAAGTGGTATTATTAAGAAATCTTCCCCATTTGCTTTTCACTTACATTCTGCAGTTCTCATACATCGGAGTCCATCTGTAATACTACATTTAAAACACAAATTCCAGGTGGTGGGTTAGTTTCTTTCCCACATTTTGGTTTTGGCCCTCCTGGGGCAAGGCTGAGATACCAGATGGCCGCCTTTGTGAGCCATGGTCTCAGGTGACCACCTCAGAATCAGGGCTACTGTGCTTGGCATGGAGCTGGACTCCATTTGATGCTTGCAAGCCTGTGTGTGTATTGACTTTCTCTTGATTTTCTTTAACTTCATGGCTTTTCTATGAAAAGCTCAATTTAGAAAAAAATGCATTTCAGAAAACCAGATTTCTGCTTTAATGTGATGCAGTGAGAACTGAAAAGTGTGCAGAGAAAGGGGGCTTTTCCTATCATGTCTCGTGTTTGGCATGTGCATGTCTTCATCTGTTTGCATATTATGTACGTGTGCAGTGATTAAAATGAAGGTCATGTGATATAAGGTGCTTTTATCAGTGCGTAGCAAAGAGTAAGTGCTCACAAGCAGCAGTGTTCTCCTGATTAGTGGTTCTGGAGGGGTTAATTGCCTTGCATTTTAAATAGGAAGGGATTATGGAAGACTGCAAGTACTTATAGATCCTGCCAGGGAAAACAGGCCAGGAACTACTTTTGCACCGCTCCTTGCTTTCCAGAAACATCATCATCCTTTGGTTGGTGTCTTCTAGAAATAGTATCTTCGCCCTTTGCATACCACTGTCCCAACTGCAGGTGGGCCTATCTTCGTAATTCCTTCCATGACTGTCCTCTGAAGGTTGTGGCACATAATTTGACTTAAATTTATTTGTGTCCATCTTAGCTTCCATTCGTCCTTTCATGTTTTTTATTAATACATCATTGAGCATTTACCGTATGTCAGCCCCGGGCATTCAGGATTGGGCCAGCACACCCTCAGGGGGCTAGATTGTAAATTCCTGATGATCAAGATCTACTTTTCTGTTACTCAGAGCATCTGGGTCTGGCACCAAATAGGTTGCTTTAGTTGCTATATTCACATAACTCTTGTGCTCTCATGTTGCCTTAGAAACCACCAGGGTTCCTGGGAGGCAGAGGGGCTCCTGGAGCTTGGCTGCTCCTGGTGGCCACGTGTGCATGAAGTCCCGGACTTGAGCTCTCCACTCAGCACATTCTGGGTATGCTGAGAAACCATAATCCCGTCGGTTAAAGTGATTGCATGCTAACCAGTGTAGATGTACCTATATTGCTTAAACAATGCACCTGTAAATCACTGGACAACGGAGTCTTTTTTTGCATGGATTTAAACAAAGAAGCAGTAATGTTTTTAAAGGAACTCTTGAAAAGAAAACTTTTTCAGGGAGAAGGATCCAGTTCTTGCCTTGCTTTTTGCTACAGTGTATTCTGAAAAGTAAGCTGATACTTTTCAAAGCATTAGCAAAGTGGATTGTATCAGAATATACTTTTTATGAGCCTATGAAATATGCTTCTTGAAGTTTGAGATGCCTTCCCTTCCCTCTCATTTGGACAGGCCATTGCACAAGTGACCCTCCCCATACATCACTTCCCATCCCTGACTGCTACCACTTTTTATGTGATTTGTGCCTTTGGAAAATACAGTGTAAAATGTGGAGATCCTGTAACCAGAGTGGCCCATGTGTCATGTGTTCTAAACCTCACCCTATGAGCATAACAAAAGCTGTAACTCAGATGTGGGGAGTGAGAAGAGCCAGGAGAAGTTACCTTCATGGGCAGGGAGGGAATCTTCAGTGCGTCTTTGGTTAAACAGGAAAAAAAAAAGGTCTCATGAAGGACACAGGCTCTTGGGAGCATTTTGAATGAAGAGATCAGTAAGTCAACATTAGGCACAGGGTGGATGCTTGAGACATCTAAGATACAAAGAAATTATACACAGTGGAGAGGGGGGTACATTTTCTTAAAAGAATTGACTGGATAGACAAGAAAATTGGCTCCTTGATGCTGAGGGTCCTGATCTCTGAAGCCTGGCAAGCCCTGCGTAGACATCCGCCTTGAAAGTTGATCAGTGTGAAGGGCTTTGGCAGGGGCAGGTCCGGGCAGCAGGCTGCAGACCTTGGTGGTGGTCCAGGCAGTTTTCTAAGAGCAGCTAATGCGTGTTCACCCTGTGCCAGCTACCGAAGGAGCACATTTAGGATAGGAAATATTTTAAGTGTGATGGGAACCTCCAGGCAGGAATTGACCTTTGGTTCTTAGATGCAGGGAAGATTTCCTAAGAAAGTCAAGGAATAAAACATGGGAGAAAGGATGTGTCAGGAAGGTGAGCAATGTAATGCTCACCATGTTTCATGTGTACCAATTACCGGGCATCTTGCCTGACTTCCTAACCACAGCGACACAGTAGAATCCCTTGGGGGGCAGGGGTAAAGACAAAAAGCCTCATCCACAAACACTCTGATTCGGTCCTTTAGTCCATCCACCCGGTGCGGAGTTGAAGTTCATCCACAAAGAAGATAGATTGCCTAGAGACTCTATCCTGGCACCTGGGAGGGAACCCTCCAGTCCCCTGGACTTGAATTTTCAAAGCATCTCCCCAGAAAACTCTTATGACCAAGAAGGCTGAAGAGAGGCTCTTACTAATGGTGATCCTCATTCGTCACAGTGTTAGAGAATTTAAGGGTGTATATATATATACATGGTTGTATGAAATTTGTCATTGTTATAAAAAAATATTAATTTTGAGAAAAATTTTGTAAGATGATTTTTGTTCACTTTTCTTAACTTTTTTTTTCTTTTGAACAAATGAATGTCATATGTCCTTGTTAAAGGAGCTCAGTAAAAAAAGGGACCACCTCACTTTGGGATTGTGAAATCATATGTTCCAAGGAACGTGGCAAACCACCATGTGCAATATGCGTTTTTCCTGCCCCAGAGTCTTGGTTTTTAATATAAATCTATAATGTAGTTTCTCTTGTGTTCTGTGATGCTTCATAACCAAAGTCATGCCATTAATCACAAAATTAATACCATTCATTAACATAAATCATAACTGGTTCCCTCAGTATGGATCTGAAAATGGGGCTGCCCCATTGTCCAGGCTTTCTCTCAGTGAATTACAACCCATTAATTGTCATGGCTGGTGGGCTTCCCTGGCTAAGTGAAGGATCGGATTGGAGGGATTCAGACATGATGCTTTGTTCTGGGGCTTTAAAATTTTAATGAGTCTGCAGGCTTGGCTGCTTAAGGAGGGACGGGGCAGGATGGGATTTCCAAGTGTGCTGTTAGTGTTAGCACTTGTAGGCTGTTCATTAGGAAGCTCTCGTTTCAGTTTCTCAGAGAAACTCCCCATTTAAGAGGAATCTTTGAGCAGCATGCCTAGCAAGAAAAACAGAAAGGAGGGGAGCTTTTAGCTGTGAGCATTAAGGGGATATTGTATCAGCTTAGTTCTAAAGATTTGCTTCTAAGAATTAATTGGAGCAAATACACCTCAAGGGACGGAAAAAGAAATGGTTTGTGGAGTAAGAACAGTAGTTGCCGTCCTTGTAAGTAGGGAACTCTTCATCTCACAGCTGAATCAATGCTACCATGAATTATTTCTGGTTATCTTTTATGGGTTTGTAAGACATTTCTTTTGTTTGATGTAATAAAAAACCCATTGTTTGATCAAGTGACTAATTATGATAAGTAATTTGAAACATTCTTGATGAAACTTGTCCGTTAATTAACATCAACAGTAAATGGAAACTAACTCAACAACAAAGTATTAGTGCACCACTGTTCCCTGGAATTGATGCCATCTCTCTGCAACATGTTCAATGAATTAAAGCTGCCAATGGCTGAAAAGTAACAAACAGGTGCAAAGGGCTGACTCACCACTGAGGAAAAGTTATTGCAAAGTTACACAATAGAGTACTGAACTCTTACAGGCAGAGGGGGTGTAAAGAAATGTCAGCAGGTTGACTGGTCCTGCTGGGTAGCATTAAGGAGAGTGGTTTCTTTTTTTTCTTTAAAGCTTAATTCGTAAACTCATTCATGCAGTGCTGATGTGAACTGAGGTACTTTTGGTAAATAAAAGTGTGGATCTATATAATTATAGTTTGGAATTATTGACATTGGCTATATCGCAATTATCATTAATACTGTCAGTTGTTATCAACTCAATGGCTTTTTTTTTATGCTTTTAGATTTCTACCTGGACAAGGACTGGTACTATACCCACAGATAGGAGACAAAATGGATATTATTTGCCCCAAAGTGGACTCTAAAACTGTTGGCCAGTATGAATATTATAAAGTTTATATGGTTGATAAAGACCAAGCAGACAGATGCACTATTAAGAAGGAAAATACCCCTCTCCTCAACTGTGCCAGACCAGACCAAGATGTAAAATTCACTATCAAGTTTCAAGAATTCAGCCCTAACCTCTGGGGCCTAGAATTTCAGAAGAACAGAGATTATTATATTATATGTAAGTATAATTCTATTCATTTTGTTTATAGAAATTAGAATAAGCAAAATAGGTTTGTATTAATTTTTGTTTCCTTAAAATTACTGTGGCAAATAATTTGGTGAGACTCTATCCTGGAAATTGTCCATTTGTTAAAGAAACCTAATTGAATGAGGGACCCTGCATTAACAGTATTCATTAATATGAATACCCAGAGGAAAAACCTCATAGAGATTTTTATAGTATTGAAATAAATGGATATATATGAAAATACTTGGCATCTCTACTGACAAAAACATTTTAAGGACCATTGGTGAGATTTTCATAGGTAAATCTTGCGTGATGATTTTTCTCTTCATTTTTTCATCTGTCCAGCCATCCATCCACTTATTCATTTAGTATTTACTCTGTGCCAGAAACTGCATAGTAAGTGCTAAGGATTCAGCAGTGAACAAGATGGTATACTAATTCCTTTCCTTATGGAGCTCATAGGTTTGAAGGGAGGGGGGTTATAGGCAAACCACAATCATACACGAGCATGTTAAAACCAGATTTAGAAGAATAAGAAAAAGCTTGGGTTTGTTCAGTGAGTTGCCTTTTTTTTTTTCCTATCTACATATGATTTGACACATTTTTCCAGAGCAGATACTGTGTCCTTTGGGTCATATCTGAGCTACTGTGCACTCATGAGGTTGTGAAGTCAAATGATAAGCACACCTAAGCAGAGCACATTATGGGTACAGATCACGTGCGGGCACAAGGCTGGGATTGTTCCAGGCCCACGCCTTTCTCAGAACACAGTCTGGGAAAGCCGTTTATGTCACTCAAGCAATGAAATATCTTTACTTAGTTTCTTTGATTTAAAATTATGCTCATAACCAGATTTGAGTCTCTACCCATTTGTTAGCCTGGACTTCAGATTGAACTGTTCTCTGCTGGGCTTACCCTCCCTTCTAATAAAGAGCAATTGAAGATATGGCTTTCTCAACCTACAAGCTCCTCTTTACAAAATCAGTAGCTCACTGCATACTTATTTAGGACTCAGTAATATGTTATTTTTGGTTTTACTACATTAGCTATTAAAACAAAGATAGGTCATAGCCGTCTGGTTATCGTGTGCTTTGCTGCAAACCTGAAATACCATAGAGACTGAAAACCTATTCTTAAACCAATTTGATACACAGAGTGGTTTAGCTAGACTAAGTAACAAGAAAAAGGGAAAGTGGCATATCGATTTAAAGGAATAATTATTCTAAAGTGATAATCAAAGCATTTTGAGAAATGAAACAAGCAGGTAAGGTGGTAAAATGTACAAGGTGATAGAGAAATACTTGAAAATATAAAATAATTATTAGGTAAAATAATGGAAACCTGAAGCTTTTGGAAGCCTAATTTATTTATTTTTTTAAAAAAGACTTTTAAGTAGGACTGTTGACCTAGGACACTGATGAAGAGCATACCATTTATAGGGAACTGAAACTGCCCTCGGATGAATTTATTAATGAGATTAATGCCCTGGTAGGATGGGAGAGAGAACCTGGGGGTGCCTGCAGAGTGGCTGCCCTGGAGTATCAGCTGTACCTGCTGCGTTAAATGTGTGTCACTGGAACCGTGCAGGCAGTCCAGGCCAAGGGCCGGCTCTTTCAGGGAGATAAGCCGATAGGCCCAGATTCTCCCCTCTCGCTTTGGCTTATGACTTCCTACAGACAGCTCTGTAAATTCTAAGTTCCCGCCGAGTGCCAGTGGGCTTTCAGCAGATGTTATAGATTCACACTTCCGTCTGAAGTAATATTCAGGAATGCAAATAAATACATGATTTATCAACATCTCTGTGTTTAATGTAGTGAGCATTTAATAACTACTTGTTATCATTACATGACAGGTTTGTGTTTAGAAGCACAACTTGATTTATAATTGTAATATTAATCTACCGAATAATGGCATCACTTATCTTTCTTTTTCTAAAAACTCATTATTAAGTTCAGTAGCAGGTAGCTGAGCTATACTAGCCTCCAGAACTCTCTTTGAGTGTGAGTTCAGTGTAAAAACAATGTGGTATTCTGGGATAAAAGAAACTTTCTTAAAATAGAGTTAAGGGTTTCAAGTTTGAAACAATGGAGGCTGCTTGAATGCTACTACTGGCCGGGTGATTGTCCCAGGGCTGGGGAAAGGGCCCAGGACACAGACCTTTGCCAGAAGGTCCAGGGAGACTCTCAGCAGAGGGTTAAAAGACTTCTACCACGTCACAGACAAGAGGAAGACAGCAGATACTTGGGAAAATGCTGAAGCCAATTTCTCACCCACCTTGCAACAAAGCTTATTGATAGACAGCTTTCCCTAGAAAGGAAGTGAGAGATGAGAGGAACAAGTTTTAAAATCGTTTAAATTAGTATTGGATTTCCATTGCTTCTTCCACAATCCCAAGATTTTTAAAAGTCACTTATTTCCACATAAAAGATGTCTCACATTCACACACATACACACTGTCACATTCAACTTAAATAGTTCTATATTAGGTAACATTGGCAGAAAGTACTCAAATTTACAAGTATATTTTTAACACCTCCAATTATTGATTCACTTGGAGACAGCTGATAATGTTGGTATTGGAGTTGCTGAAATAATACATGACACGTGTTTGACTCTAAGCTTAGTGTCTAGTTAGTTAAGTACCTTCAGAAATAAGGGTGTTAGTGTTAACATCACATCTTTGAACTCTGGTTCCTTTCCATGGGAAAGAAGATCAGAGATGGTTTGGAGTAGTCACTTTCTCAGAATTTTAATTTTTCTGGAAAGTGCTGGCAAGGGTTGTTCAGCCCAGTGACATAGGACACAGGCATCCACTGTAGGATTTCTTGTTCACGTGGCTCATCTCTGAAATGGACAGGATCTTCTATAAATTCTTTAAAGACATTGATTTATGGTTTTACCAGGTTTAAAATATAGTCATCATACATTTGAGTTTTTAGAAGGAAATATTAATTTTTAATTGAAAGTGTATTTTTAAACCCACTGAGTATCTACTAAATTCCCTTAGGAAATGACAAAGTGAGATGCATCCTCATCAATTCTCCTCAGAGATTATTTGCTTTGACATGTGGCAAAATGATATATATGAGTTTTCTTAATGTTTAGAGTTGACTTTTTCAAGTGACCTATTTCAGTAATTAGCCTTGGGCCTACTTTCATAATCAAGTCTCCTAAGCTTCAATAACCCAAAGGTAGGGAAGTTATGGCCCCTGGTCTGAAAAAATCCCCAATTTTCATTGCTAACATTCAGATTCTTCCTTGCCTTAAAAAGAGTGAGTATTTCACATAACCTGTAGTTATTTTTATTGTGTCTTCAAAAATGTTTTTAAATATGAAATAACTGTTCTAAAGTTATCCATTTTCAATAGATTCTCTTAGTAAACACTCTGATTAATATTAAGAAATCACTCCTAGCTGTCTCCTCAGCCTTCATCCATATTTGTGTCACAGAGTTGTCTCGCAGACCCTTTCTGGGTTTGGTTTATAGTTCCTTTCAGCAGTGGTAGCACAGAACTGAATGAGTCGGCCATTCTGGTGCGCTGGTCCTTTGCAACATCCAACATCATGGAGGTTCTGTGGGTTAGTTATTCAAACTCAGCAAAGAACCTTGCAGAATACCTACAAAGAGGTTTTCATCACACAACCAAAAATCAGGTGAGTCAGAGAGGGAGGGAAAAGGAAAGCCATTGTGTCAATATTTTTTAAGTGAACAGCAGCCATGGCACAGCTGGTAGACAAAGAAGGTCACATGCTCAGGGCACCTCTCAGTTTAGCTTTATCTGGCTTTTACATTATTGTACTTCAGATCTGTAGCTGAGACATAGATGTGCAGGATAGTTTTAAAGTCGTCATTTCTAAAGATGGTTCAATATGAAGTTGCTTGTGAGGTGCACCTGCCGCGTTCACAGTGGTGCTCCCAGAAGCTGCCCTCCCTTCTGTGCCTACAGAAGGAAGCCCTCCTTGAGAGACACTAAAGGAGTTTGAATGAATCTCCATTTCTTAAGCCCTTCACTGGTTTAGTTCTGTAAAACAGTTTTTTTTAAAAATCAGAGCATGTAATATTGGAAGGCTCCACAGTCAGCTTTGCTATTTTTTAGGCATAAACTCCACTTCTGAGCAAAACTGAAAAATAAATTAAAATGCTTGCACAGAAATATAATGAAACACTGGTCTTAAAGAACCAGGAGAACAACAGATTCCCTGCCTGTATTTTTGTTGAGCATATGTATATATTTGTTTTCTTTTTGTTTTTCTTTTTTTTTCCTTTTCTATTTTTGATACTTATTTCTTGGGAGTGTCATTAAAATACACTGAATGCACTAGGATCTCTTTCCCTAGCAAAATTCAAATGTCCTCCTATAGAGATTTTTTTTGGATCTGTAGGAATGTGTGACCTATATAAAGTGATTATGTGCTTAATTGCATTGATTAATTTATATGATAATTGTAGCAAAAGCTATATTTCCATCAAGTTTAGTGAAATGGCAACACCAGCCTATCACTTACATCCTCTGACTTTCGGGTAAGGATTTATGTTTCAAACTTTGCATTTAATTGCTGAATTGAAGCATTTAAACACATTTTTATTTTTAACCTACAGCTGTCAACTTTGTAATAGAATGTTCACCAGAGTCCTGAGTCATAGGGGGCTATACACACACACTGCTTAGAGCGCCAGATCAGCACAGTAGTTGAGAGTCTGGAGTCAGACGGACCTGGGTTCTTGAATGTCCTTCAGCAGTGACCGGACCAGCCTCTGCCTAAGTCTTGCCGTGGGTAAACTGGGATGATGACAGTACCTGCTTTTCTGGGGTTGATGTGAAGTTAAGTAAGGTGGTGTATCCACAGTGCCTGCTTTCGTGGCTGGTACCTAACAGGTACAGCTGAGGGGCCTCCTTGGGGCAGAGAAGGACAGTGTGAGGCAGAAGACTGAAGGCAAACCCATGCTTCCTTGCAAGCAGGAGGGTGGGGAAGATGGGCTCAGAAGGTAT